GGGAGAGGGAGAAGCAGGCTTCCCAATGAGCCGGGAGCCAGGAGCCAGGACCCAGGACCCAGGATCATGACCTGAGCCGAGGGCAGGCGCTTTACCGACTGAGCTACTCAGTGCCCCATCTTTAGCTTCTTTCATAGAAAAAGAGATGGGAATCGTGGTTAAAGCCAATACTATTTAACCAATGAGATTAACAAATTAATAGCAAATGTGTTTTTAAAAATTAGAAATGACAGACACAACTAGATAAAAGAAACTTAAATTATTCATTGATTTTACAGGATTCTTTCAACATTACTTCTTGGACACAGATAGCTTGTGTGTTTCTTAGACAAAAACTTTTCTCCAGCACTCTCACACAAGTGTGACATGGGCCATACATTATTAATTATTAGCCTCCTTCAAAAGATGGTTCCCCCCTCCCATAGCCTCAGGAAAAAATCATGACACCTAAAGCTCTTAGTCGTATCCTGTCCACCTGAAGTGTCCCTCTCCTCGTTGAGACACTAATCTGTACAGAACTTGTATTTGCCTCAGCACACACTGTTCTTATCCTTGCTCACGCTACAGTCCACAGAAAGAATGCCTTTCCTCCCCTCTTCCCTGGACACTTCAGCGCCTGGCTCACGTGTGCCCTCGCTCCCAGGAAGCCTTCACCCCTGTCTGGATGTTCCCCTTCTTTGTGTTCCCACAGCACTTCTCTCAAATTACCTTTATCTTTTTATTAGAGTCTTAACCTCATAAAAACTGACCATTTTTTACGCTCACATAATAGGTACCTGTTAAAAGCTCGTTGAGTGAATGTCTCCAGCTTTCCCCCATAATGTGAAGTGTTATCGCTGTTTCTGTCACAGCAATTTTGTTGTCGTCTTCCTGCAGGAGTCCAAATATAGGGGTTTGCTTCGACCTCCTCTCAGCTGGTGCCAGATAGTACTTCCAGACCTATTCTCATCGTCTTCTTAAACATACTAGAATGAGTTACGCTCCTTTTCATCTACCTACTCTGAGGGTTTCTGTCTTTAACGTAACTTCAGCATAGTTAAAGAAAACAATCTCTTCACTTGAGCTTAGTCATAAAACATGACTCGGTCATAAACACGAGCGCGTGAGCGCATGCTGGGGATGAGAGAATCGGGCCGGGCGTGAGCCTGGGTTATTTCACGGTGCTTCAACGAGCAGGTTTTGATTAATTTCTAGATTTTCCAGTGAAGAACTCAAAACGGGGAATAAAGCACTTGAAACGGAAAATAAGGAAAGCAGTGGAGAGAACAGGGAGACGAAATCGGGAAGCTTAAAATGGCATGACAAGCAGGGAAAATGGAGAGCGAGGTGGATAAAGTTTAAACCCTGGGACGACGACTCGCAGTCGCTTCCCGGTCTCCACAGTTTTGCAGGCCGTCCGCGCGGCGCAGAAAAACCGCCGGCCTCTCTGGGCGCTCCCCC